TTTATTGTATTTTTAGAATTTAGTATTTTTTTTCCTTTAATCTATTTTCGCAACTTATTTTCAGCTTTAGCGGTTATTTGATATTTGTCCACTGTTTGGATCATAACTGAAGCTGCGAGAATCAAATTCGCGTGTTCTAATAGGTGATGGAAAACTAGGAGAAATAGCTACAACTTTTATGTTTTATGAAAAAGCTGATTCAGAGTGTAGCAGACTCGAATAATTCGTTGAAGTCAGGACCCGAAATCTGCCGTTTGAAATATTTAGTTTTGGGCCGGGTTTTTTATGTTTTTCGACCCAGTTGGGTTAAAACCAGAAGTTTTGATGCTTTCTTATACCTAGCAGTCGTGCTACTGTCACTTTACCTTCTTTTTACGAATTTTATTGTGCTTTGTACGAATATCATGGCAAACTAATCCCAATGGGCGATCTGTCGAATTCGAATACCACAAAAGTTTGAGGTTATTATCAATTTCGATTGATATATGTTCCTTACTTTAATCGCATTTAACTTAGCTTTTTCGTTAATATGCGCCATCTTTAACCGTCTGCTTAATTCAGTGAACCATTTGCTTAATTCGGTGATTAGGAACATAACTCGTGTAATATTGTCAAGGCTTGTTTATTCAATATCGCAATCGAATAGGGAATTGGAATTATAATGACCAATGATAAGTTGGTAGTCGAACCGCTAGATTAACCTGTTTAATCACTTGTTTATTCTGTTTTTCTTAATTTAATCCTTCACCAAAACAACCCCCCTCCCCCCATAAACGTTACTGTGTTGGTTTATATATATATATATATATATATATATATATATATATATATATATATATATATATATATATATATATATATATATATATATATATATATATATATATATATATATATATATATATATATATATATATATATATATATATATATATATATATATATATATATATATATATATGCTTCTTTTTAGAATGCTTCAAAGGCTTTTCAAACTTAGAAGGATGAATAGAAAACACCATCTTAGGTTGCAAGGCATCATCTAATTTGACTTGAAGAGATTTTACTTCTTCTTGTCTATTATGACAATGTTTACAACCAAGCCTGCGAGGTTTTATATCCTCACTCTTGTCACTTTGAATATCTATCATAGATTTCTTAATAGCTTTGAACTTCTTTTCAGATTCTAACATTTTAGCTTCTAAGTTTAAAATAACTTTTTCATGTAAAGCTAACTTGCTAAAATCTCTTAAGGCTTCTCTATGAAGATCTTTAAAAACCTTTTGTAATTCAAAATAGGATGAATCATTAATATACTCAAGCTTAGAAAGACTTACACTTTTCTTTTTCTTTCTTTTTTCCATAAGACAAATCCGAGCCGATTTGACACTTGAAGTTGTGCTTCCATCACTAGAGGACTCACTTGCACTCTCCTAAATGGCATATGCTCTCCTCAACTTGCTAGAAGTCTTGTGATGGCTCCTTTCTTTATCTGTCTTTCTCATAGGGCATTCCGGTATAGTGACCGACTTCACCACAATGATAGCAAGATCTTCTAAGCTTAGTTTTCCTTCTTTCATCATTCTTTGAGGAGCTTGTCAACCTTCTAAACTTGGCTATGTTCTTGTCAGAATGTTTAACATTATTCTTCCTTATATACCTTTGGTATCTCTTTACGAACAACCCCATATCCTTCTTATACAAACTCTTGCTTTCACTATTGATATGCTCATATTGTGAAGGCCTTGAACTAGAAGTCTTTAGAGTTATGGACTTCTTGCCTTCTTCTTTGTCTTTCCCTTACTCATTCTTCATTCTCTTTTCACATTCTTTTTCGTATTTTTCTAAGCAAGTGAACTATTGCTCATGATCTTCCAACTTACCAAACAAAGCCATGAGATCAAGCGACTTAAGATTATTTGCCTCCTTGATGGCGGTGACCTTGGGCTATCATTTCCTACTTAAACATCTCAAAACTTTGTTAGTAGCAAGTTCATTGGAAATAGGATTATCTAGTGCATTTAATCGATTGATAAGATGTGTGAACCACTTTCGCATATCCGTAACGGTTTCATCATACTCAATACGAAATAGCTCAAACTCTTGATTTAATGTTTTGAGGCACAATCCTATATTTTTTCCATGTCACCAAATGTTTCACATGTCATTAAATGTTTTCCATGTCATAGTTTTTAATTACATATAAGTTGGAATATAATTGTTTATAAATTATGAAATATGAAATTAAAATTACATCAGATTAAAGTTTCCATCAAATCCTTTTGAATTGTTTTTCGCCTTCTTTCCCCCCAGTCACTGTTCGTCTTCTTCTCACCTATTTTCTTCAAGTTTCCATCAAATCCTTCCATTAAAATGTCTCAGCAGTCCGGTTATAGCCATGAAAGTAGGTCCTCAAGTCGTTCAAGGTACGTATGCAAGTGTGGTCTCGATGCTTCGTTGATGACGACATGGACCGATTCGAACCCAGACCGTCGTTTCTATGGGTGTGAGATGTATAAGATTCAAGAATACAAAAAAATGCTCTCACTTTGCTTGGTTGGATGAGGAGATGGATCCTAGGGAAAAACAAATAATTTCTTCACTGGTAAAGAACTTGAATGAGGAGAAGGAGATGGTTAACACCTACAAAGCCAAGGAGGACGAATTGAAGTTGAAGGTGAAGATCCTGAAGAAATAGTTGAAGATTACCTGAATTTTTTATTTATAGTGTTCATTACATTTGTTGTAACAACAATGACGAAATAGGTTATAATTGATTAGGTTTGCATGTTGACTAATAGTGTAATGGTTGATGTATTGGTTACCTTGGATTCATGTGATGATGTTATGGTGTATTGAATATGATACAATTATGTAATATTATGAATATGATACAATTACTATTATTATGATAACTTTATCACAAATGTGAGTTGTATTTTCTGCTGTGATACGGTGAACAATAATACAGGTTAAAAATGAGGTTAATTATAAAAGCAGGATGATATTTGTTAATTCTGCAGAAAACGTAACAGTTATATATCATAACCGTTATAATATTTCGCACACTGTCTAGAAAAAAATAAGTATCAAAACGGCGCAGCTGGGAATCGAACCTAGGACGATTATTTTTATCACAACAGTCTTTTGGAAAACCCGTTGTGATAGGACGCGCACTTTCTAGTTTATTACAACGGTTACTTGGTCGTGATTGTAAGTATCATATATGCAACCACACTCTACATAACAAAACTTGGGACCGTGTGATTATATATCTTTCACAACCGTTGTTGTTCTGGCCTGGGCCCCGGCCTCAACTCGCGGCCCAGCCCAATGATACACAATGAAAGCCCAACATGGTTTAAGTAAGACGGCCGGGCACGTGGCCTCTCGACGGGCAGGGCATGCTCCCGCCGAGGAGAACAGCGTGCCTCAGGACACCCCCTGTGCTCTCCCTTTTACGGGAAGGCGCTTCCAATCGTTGCCCCTCGTCGGGCGAAACAACCCTCCGCGGGCAGAATCCCCATACCGTCGAACAGGACAGCGTGTCTCTCCCGCGCCCTCGTGTACTCCCCTCCGCGGGGAGAACGACACACCTCCGGGGAACCTCGCGAGCTCCCTTCCGCGGGGAGAACAACGTACCATGCGCACGTTCTCCACGTGCTCCTCTCCGAGGGGACACGTCACCAACCAACTGCCCACCTCCGAGAGAGCAGGTCAAACCCACTTTCCGGATACCACGGGACAGTTGGACTAGGGCAAAGACCACGCCCTGATCTTCACTACGCCACGTAAGCCTTAACAGTCACCTGGGTTGGGTCTGACCATCCAGCCCAACACAAGTGACCGTTGGCCCAACGCTGGGGTCTCTTTATAAATACCTTCTTCCACAAGAGGGTCAGATAATTCACTTCTTACCCTTTTTCTGTGCTTGTGACCACTCTGCCCATATACTTACTTTGGCATGGAAGTGCCTTGCAGGTACACCCCTCCTCCTCCTTATCACCGGTGAACAGGCAGCAGTCCAACAGAGTGTGGCCAGCTAGTGATCCCCTTCTGATCAGGTCTGATCAGTTGTTAAATGTGTTTTACGTAGCAGTGATTTCACCTTTTTATGTGTATCAATCCATAGTATACAAAATTCAATCTTACTCACATTTTTCTTCTCGATGTCAGGCAACGTATTATCCAATTCAGATCTTAGAAGAGCGAGATAGGGGTGTCAAAATCAACATGAGGTTTCACCCCGTTGGAGTACACAACTGCCTTAAATGAATAGTGAGACATTCTAAGATGTATTTTTTAACAACACATAGTCCCTATTTATACAAGTTTGAATTCATTTTAAACCACACACAACTGTTGGCACAATCACTACTGTAAAATAATGTTGAGAAAATCTCAACCGTTGAAAATTACGGCACTAGGTTTTTTGAAACCTTACGAAAAGTCCAATAAATGCACGAGCTTTTAAAAAAATCCAATAATTTTACACTATCGAAATTTTCAATTTTTTAAAAAAAATCTGATACACATAAGTATTTTTTTAGGAAACAGACAAACTGTTACTTTCCGCCATTTTTTTTATATCAATATAAATACATACCAAAATTTGTAAATACATTACCACATTTTTCAATTTCTACATAATTTTTTCTTGCACTACCTATTTTTTATACTCTTTCTAAAAGAAATTTGGCAAGATATTTTAAGTATTATGAAAAATTGTGGAGTGTTATATCTAAGGTTAAAATATCTACTAGCAAATATCTAAATCTAAAAAAGTCCAAACTATTTGAGCCTTACCACTTGTTATATCATATATTTTATATTTCCAAAAATAAATAAAAAATAAAAATAAAGAGTAGTAAAATTTTCCAACCATTGCGATGGAGATGAAGAACTGGTGGTGGTTGTGACAACACCAACATATCCTTAACTTTTATGTCACAAACACTAATTTCCTTTCCCAACACTTTCATGGAACATAGAATCAAATTATGGGTCTCTCTTTTGGTTTTAGATTAAACCCTAAACTCAGATATACTCTTCCAATTCACTCTCCTCATTTCTTCACCAATTCATCTTTCTTCCTCTCTTCTTCATCTTCTGGTTAGTTCTTTTCTTTCTCTTCCTTTTCTATTATACTAACACTCTAGTAATAGTTTAGTTTATACACAATTATAATGAAGATTTTCTACACTATGAATCAATCTAGTTGGTTGGATAATGAACAATATTTGACTTTAATTGTGTCTTCAATTATATTTACAATTATCAATTTGCATATCAAATCTTATGTATGCTTCTTAGTAGTGTGCTTTGTCAGTGTCCATGTCTGAAATTGACACTGACCCATGTGATTACTGTCGACGTGTTAGTGTCGGGGTTGTGTTTCCGGTGTCTGTGTTTGATAGGTTGTGTGCGTGTTTTGGAGTGTGATTTACAAGTGTTGCTATCTATGTGTTTTTTGAATTTTGGGTTAAAATGTGATGTAGTTGGAGGCAGGGAAACTTTATTCAACCCTGTGAGGTTATCTTTGCTTTCAACAATTTATGAGGAAGGAGAAACTTTGCACAAGGATTTTGGAAAGACATTTGCGTTTTCTTCATCAGCATTGGAAGCTCCGGAGAAAGATTTATTGCTTGGAGGAGATGTGATAACAAAGGTCGTTTACATAATCTTTCGCTTACAGTTATAGTTTTGAATTGCAGTCATCTCGTGATCTTTGATGTTGCAGAGAATCATTGTTGAAAAGGCCTTTGTTTTTCAGGTAAGTAAAGGAAGGAGGCCGCTTAGTAGTGTGCATGAAATGATCGATAACACGAAACTGCCTCATGGAGAGTCGCGTTTCGGTATGTTAATGGAGAATCTTGATGTTTTAGAGGAAACTTTTGCTGATTCTGAAGCATTGAGGTTGAAGAAGAATATTATATTGCAAATAGAAAAGCTTGGAGCTCTTGAGTTGTTCAATGTTTGTCTAACAACATCTTTCGGAACTTCACGCGTATCGAGTTGCACTAACGAAGTTCTTGAACATGTTGAAGAAAATAAGAGAAACTCCAAATTTGATGACTATACAGGTAAAGTTATTGTCCGTTCTAGCAAGAGGAAGGAAAGTAGAACAAGAAGAAAGAGAATATCTGTTTCCATTGCGCCTTCGTCCAAGTCATTGCCTTTAGAAGATAATAATCAAGAAGATATGTTACGTTCTTCGCCGGCTTCGTTTGTAAGAAAAGCATCAAATACTAAAAATAGAAGAGCGGCGATTGCTCAAAGGGAAATTGAAATGTCAAAAGGTGTAAAGGTTAGTTTATTGTAAATAAAACATTTAGTGATTTGGTACCTTGATTGTATATTATGTAAACGTTAAAATTCCGCACTATTTTAGGTTTTAGCAGAGTTAGAGAGAATGAAAACAGCGTTAGAAGAGGATACAAAGCAAGTGGTAAGCTTGAGTAGCTGGGCGGAAGCATCCGGAGTCGAGGAGAAGATGCTAAAACAGAAACTGTATCATGGCTATTATTGTAGAGACGAGTTGATACGGAGTACTCGTTCGTTAGTTCTATACTTCGCCAAAAAATACAAGGGTATGGGAATAGCTATGGAAGATTTACTTCAGGTAGGGTATATGGGTGTTCTCCAAGGAGCCGAGCGATTCGACAGTACAAGAGGATACCGATTCTCAACCTATGTGCAATACTGGATAAGGAAATCAATGTCAATAATAGTGGCAAAATATGCTCGAGGAGTCATCGTTCCTGTATGTTGAACTATGTTCGTTCATCTTTTGTTTAGGAGGTTGTTTGTTTCTTAGTACAACTATAATCCAAGAAAAACCATGAATTTGATCCTTGTGTTCTTTTTCCGTTCGCTATTCTTTGTAGTGGTCAATGAACAAGGCAATAAGTCAGATCCAAAGAGCACGAAAAGTCTTGAAAAACACGTCCATGAAATACGCAGACGATCACGAGATTGCAAATATGACAGGTCTTTCTCTGGATAAAATCAGAGCAGCTAGCCATTGTCTGAGAATAGTTTCTTCAATGAATCGGAATTACAATATAGATTATTTGGTAAGACCAATATTTTTCCCATCTATGATGCCTTTTTCGCTACTTTTCCTTATGTTGTGTTGTCATCTGATGAACATTAAGAAAGATCTTGAGATTAACGATTTTGATAGAAACATGGTCTTGGATAGAACATTATGGCGAAAGTTGATCTAGTTAGTGGGATAAGACTTGGTTGTTGTTGTGTTGTGTTGTCATCTGATGACTGGTAATTGTGCAGGGTGAAATGGCCGATAAGTCGATAGAGAGTCCTGAAGAGACCGTCATGAAACAACACATAAGAAAAGACATCTACGATATCCTTCAAAGCTTGGACTCGAGGGAAAGACAAATAGTAATCCTACGATTCGGCCTTAAAGATCACCAACCTAGGTCTCTTGAGTATATAGGAAAGATTTTCAAAGTTAGCAAAGAGTGGATAAGGAAAATAGAGCAAAAAGCTCTCACAAAACTAAGGAATGAAACAAACATGTCAAAGTTGAATTACTATATGGATCTGCAGTAGTTTATCATTCAGTAGCATATATTTTCATCTGTATATGAGGGATGATGTGTACAAACTCTTGGTCAAAAGTTTGTTGTATGCATTGTGTATTAAACAAAGTTTTTTTTACAGTTTTCTAGTTGCAGCATTTTACAACAAATTAATTTGGATACATGGAAGAGAACTTGAACTGTACAATGATGATGATTTTCCTGAGTTTTATGTGATCATTGTGAAACAATATGATAATATATCTATTTATTTATTTTCTGTTGCCTTGAGAATAAATAATTTTGATGCATCTGAAATCTGTAGTTTTTGATATGGTGGTAGGCTTGTTCTTTGGCAAAATTTGGATTCTGTTATGATTGATTTCAGTGTTTTATGTAATCTCAAATTAGAGAGAAATGCTTCAAATATAAGCAACATCAAGTATAAATAAATACTAGTTATTTTGCAAAGAATCTATTTATTAAGATCAAAAAACTAGTTTTTATCATATTTCTAACCGCATCCAATGGGATTGAAATTCGAAAATGTCCTCTAATTTCGGATATGTAACTCTAGACGGGTCTAAAATCACACAAACAAAGACGTTGAGAGTGAGACACCTCTATTTTATCTAAATAAGTGTTCGAAGATATATTTCTGGCATTCGGAGGTGTATCTTTGTAAAGTGTCATGGTGTTCCATTACCATTACCTCTACTTTCTTCTCCCTATGACCACCAACTACTCTTATATGGATCAAAAGTTTCGAATATATATTTTTAAACTATTTTTTTTACAAAATAAGAGTGTGATTCACTTATGCATGTATTTGATATATTTTAGGGTGCGTCTGGAAATACATTTCCGAAATTTGAGAATATTTTAGTATTTTTACGTGGTGTCTAAATAATATATAGGGTGCATTAAAAAATTCTTTTAATTTTTTCATTCACGTTATGATAAAATTAGAGTTTAACATAATTCATACTTGTAAAATCGACTCTATAGAATGAAGAATGTCATTCTATATATAATCTTTTGTGAATATTATCTTAAAACCATTATTTAATTTAGGTTTTTCTCAATATATCATTAAAAAAGTTATATTTAATAAGAAATAATTTGTACCTTGTAGCTTGTAGTTTTTTTTTTATTATTTATTATTTTGTGATTTTTCTCTTTGGTTATCTGAAGGAATTTTTAACTTTGTTACTTTTATTTATTTATTTGTATTCTTATTATGTTTAATAAAAAAACATTATTCTCATCATTTATATTTTATTATAATTTAAAGAAAACAAATGTGTAATAACACAATAGTTTTATTGTAGAATAAAATTTATTTTGATTATCATTTTAATTAATATAATTGAAATTAAAATTATAATGCTATTAATTTATATATTTTTGTTAAATTTTATTACAAAATTATATATAATATTTAATATATTTTGGCGTTATATTTAATTTTACTTATATTTAAAATGTTATTATGGTGTTATATCTGTAAAAGACTATGCCTAAAGCAATGTTCTGGGACCGTCTTAGGAGAAAGTGACGACATAAAGCCCGCCAAAAGGGAGGTATCACCTTGCCCTTAAGTCTTCCTCGCCCATTGAGGAAAATAAACATGAGATAAGACGTGTATTGGATAGAGACATATGAGAGTTGTTGTTAACCTCATCACCCTTGAAAATAGAGATTAATCGTCCATCATTTGAGCGAATCGACAGTCGCCTTTTCCGAGATAACCCTAGGTCTTAAAAGGCCTCTATAAATACATTACCCCCACATATGGATAGACAGACTTTCAAGTCATACGCATTCTCCAATACTTAAAAGAGCAATACACTCCTATTAGCCGTAACACACCATCAACCTAATTGTTTGCTGCAAATCAGCAGCATCCGACCACTATAAGGTTTCTCACCTCATGTGAGTTGGTCCCTTAAGCAGTCTTAAAAGCACCGTACATGTTTCTCGCCGCTGTGAGTAATCCCTCACTACCCAAATTGTAATGCACATATTAAGGCCTTTGAGTCTCTTTGCCCTTGTAGAGGGAACACACACCTTATACTTTTTTTACTAGTACAACGATGCCCAGTAAAACAACATGGGGCACATCTTTCACTCCAACCCTAGCATCCCCTCTTTCTGGAGATGACTAACAGAGTCCTACACCACGTGCTAACATCATTTAACCATTGATCACACAATTGACTGATGCTGATCAAGTAGCAATTAAGTATTCTACCAATAGCACATCATTCAGACAAAGAAGACAAAGACTAACCATTTTTCCCATGCCCTTTATTCTTCTCTTTACTTCATCACCAAAATGGCATAACTATTGGAGTAAGATTTCAACTCCTCAAGATATATCTTTTCTTCAGTCATCTGCCTAGAAATCCACTATCGAAATACCAATCTTATCTTGAGAAAACTCTATGAGAAGTATGAGATATGAACTATTGACAACTGCTTTGAGTTTCCATTCCTTTTTAGCTTGAACTTTCTTACCATTTGTTATATATTTTTATTTTAATATTCTATATAAGCAATGTAATTTATAAAAAAATTGATTAAATATTTTTCGTAAACAATGTAATTTGTATTAAAAAAGATTATTTCTCTCAATTTGATCATAAACCGAGAGACATGTGACACTAGTTTTGAAAATATAAAAAATGCTTTTGTTAGAGTCAAACCAATAACCATTTCAATTATCCCCTCAATTAATCAGAAATCAATGGGTAAGTGACAAATTTTTATGACGCTCTTCGTTACCTCGCTTGTACCACTAAGATAAAATCCTCTTCGCGTCCGACGTAACATGTATTTTTTTGTAGTAGTGATCAAACTAAATTAGATATGGGATGAATATATTCTCTATAGAGATTCTCTCTTTATTGTCCAACACAATACCTCTCATCATGAATTGAACTCATAGGTGTTGCATTTTCGTGACATGGACCCTTTCATAGTATTTTTTTTATGTGTCTATTACATTGTACACTTGCTTGGACACTTGTTATATTTTTGGATTTTGATTATCAATGCACCATTATGAATATCGGTGCCCATATGTATATGGTCCATGAGATACCTTGATAAATCTGATTTTCACAAAACTATCTTTCACTGAGTTTTAAGCGGCCAAGTATATCATGACTGTCTAAATCCTTAGTTAGCTTATGTTATGAATGCACATCATTTGAGAACATAGATGACCAATACTTAAATGAAACAATCCAAAGTTTAGAAGTCCTATCACAAAGGAACATGTTAGGAGAGTCAATGACGTCTTTAATACAATTCTTTCTAGATTTTTTTTTGTTTTAAATCGGTTTCAACTCAATTAATCTATAATATTTTGTCTCCTTTGTTAAATGTAATCATTGTTTTGATTTGATAGAATTAGATTTGAATATTTTAGGCCTTTTATGTTTTGGCTTTTGTAAACCTAAAATTATAAATAGGGTGCCTTGCTTTGTATTCAAACACAAAGTATAAGAAATCTCAGGTAACACATTCTCTCCAAATATTTTTCTCTCTCATTTGATTATTCTTCTTCTCTTTTGTTGTTAATTACTGTTATTACCATTACTATTACCATTGAAATCAATATAAATAATCGTATCAAAGAAAACTCTTATTGTAAGACAGAAGGAAAGTATATCATAATTCATCCATCCCATCTTCATTCTGACATAAAAAGACAACAATGTTTTTTCAACTTTGTGAAATCTAAATTCTGCAGGGTTATATTTGACATTTTAGAAACATGTGAACAAAAGAACCAAACACGTAGGAACAGAGAACAACACATTCAATTTTGTTTTGTCAATCCTAATCCATTATTACCAGCAACCTTCAAAGTAAGTCCATCGATTCAAAGACAAAAAGAAAAATGGGTATTCCTTCGGAACTTAGGGACGCTTGGTCTCCAAAAGGAATTCTTTCATCATTGCTTCTCCAGATGAAGAGAGGAAGATCTTAGGACTAAGAAATGTACCGATGGTAATTTCATTTTCATTCTTTCTTACATAATTCACAACTTTTCTTTTTATGTTTAATTAAAATTAATTATGTGGTTTATGTAGTTGGTTAGTGATTATTGTTAGATGTACTTTTGGCTGATTATACATGAAATAATTCCTCCATATTTGCATGCTGTTGGTATTAGGATTTGGGTGATTACGAAGTATTACTCCTAATCCCAATGATTGTTTTGAGATATATATTTCATAATATTAGGGAAATGGTTTATGAAATATTACTCCCAAGGATTGTTTTGAGACATGATTAGGGATGTCCTGTTTGATATATTTCGGAGTGTGTGAACAAAGAGTATCTGTATCCACATGAGGGGAGATTCACACTTAGGGCTAGTAGATGTTCTGGTGTATGGTGTATGGGTGGGTAGGAGGAAACATGCTTGTGTGGACTTTAATGGAGTTTCTTCATTGGTGGGACTTGGGACTAGAGGTTTTACAGTGGGACATGCAGCTCTCAAAGCTGCTTCAAGTAAATGGTCAAACATGAGAAAACGTGTTCGACGATCAATATGTTTTCATATTATTTGCTTTTGACAGTTTGATTTTCTAGCACATGAAGCAGTTGATCTTTATATAGAATCCAAAGGTTAATGAATAGCAATGTTAATGTTGTATCTCCTAGGTCTATGAATGTAGTTTTTAAGAGGATTGGTTTTGCGATTCAAAAAGGAGTAACAGCACAACTTGTTGCCCGTTTACCTTCCATTTATGTATAAACTTTCCTATCATTTTGAAGACAAAGAATGGAAACTAATGTTATTTTCCTTCTACTGTTGTATTCCACTATGGAGGGAGATATAGTAAGGTTAGAGAAATGGGTTTTTAAAGACTTCAGCCTCAACGGAATAGGTAAACCTGCAAGATTAGCACTCCAATACCAAAGTCAATGAAGTGGTAGAGAAGTGTTTGTGATTGAGAGTTAAAACAGTCTCATATAACCTGACCTGAGATGCGGGAAACCCTTGATCAAATG